TGTTACGTTTGTGGATGATTATTCTCGATTTATGTGGTTTTATCCACTAAAAATCCAATCGAGTTTCCATACAATATTTAAGTGTGTTTATAACGTTTGTTCAAACGCAATTCTCTCGTAAAATAAAGGTTTTTCAAAGTGATGGAGGCACTGAATTTTTAAACCATCATGTTCGTAAATTGCTTGATGATAATGGTGCTTTTCACCGCATCTCATGCTCGTACACTCCTCAACAAAATGGTCGGGTGGAACGTAAACATAGGCATATTGTCGAATTTGGACTTGCAATGTTATTTAATGGCCAAGTTCCTCCTTCATATTGGGTGCATGCATTTAGCGCTGTCGTATACGTAATAAACAGATTACCTACACGGGCGTTACAAAACAAGTCCCGTTTGAGCTAATCTTTAATCGGGCCCCAACTTATGATAATTTTCGTCCTTTTGGGTGCCGAGTTTATCCATATTTATGGGATTATGCGGACCACAAACTTTCTCCAAGAAGTCTCCCGTGCATCTTTATCGGTTATTGCTCTCAATAAAAAGGTTACCGATGTCTTGAGCCAAACACAATCACGCATCTATATTACTCGGCACGCTAAATTTGATGAACAATTTTTTTCCATTTACTGGAGATGCATCTCAAACTCCAGTAACTATGTTACATTTAACAACTTTTTTGGATGATGCTCCTTGTTCTCCTGCTCTACATGCTGGCCCATCCCCATCCCTTCATGATCCGCCTGGTCCACCCCCTATAAATCCTTGTGGGCTGTGTGATGATACCCAAACGCCGCCCATCCCTTCCGAACCGGTGCACTCCACTCCCACCGCCAACTCGATTCCAGACGCTCAACCATCACATTCTGTTCCCGACCCGACCCAGACAGCTTCAACGCATGAGCCTGTTACGGCTTCTTCTCAACCAACTGGCAATACCACACCTTCTATTGGTACAGTTTCAACGAACCAATCATCTGGTCATCCAATGATGACAAGATCCAAGGCTGGAATATTTAAACCTAAATATCAGGCCAATTTAGCACACACTACCACTCATGGACTTCTCTCTGCTTTATTCGCTTCCACCAACCCGAAAGGCTTCAAAACTGCTGCTAAACACCCAATTTGGATGAATGCTATGCAAAAAGAGGTGGATGCCCTCTGCCTAAATAACACTTGGACGTTAGTGCCTCGTCCTAATCATCACAACGTGGTTGGTTGCAAATGGTTGTTTTGTACCAAATATCATGCTGATGGCTCTATTGAGAGACATACGGCTCGTCTCATCGCTCAAGGTTTCAGTCAAATTTCGGGCTTAGACTATTCACAAACATTTAGCCCGCTCGTCAAGGCCTCAATGGTCCGCATTGTTCTATCATTAACTGTTATTAACAACTGGAAACTTCACCAACTTGATGTTTATAATGCCTTTCTTCATGGCAATTTGGGTGAACTCGTGTACATGGAACAACCGCTGGGCTTTCAGGACCCTAATTTTCCTGATCATGTGTATCGTCTTAACAAAGCCCTCTACGGCCTTAAACAAGCTCCGAGGGCCTGGTTTCATCGCCTAAGTACCTTTTTATTAACAGCGGGTTTGTCTGTAGCCGGGCTGATACATCTTTGTTTGTGTTCACGAGATTCCTGCACCTTATATCCACTTGTCTATGTTGATGATTTGATTGTAACCGGCAATCAAGCACATGTCATTCAGTCCTTCATCACCAAATTACACAAGGAGTTTGCTATTAAAGATCTTGGCAAACTCAGTTATTTTCTTGGGCTCGAGGTAACCTATATGGATAATAGCTTATTTCTTAGTCAATCCAAGTACGCTCACGACATTTTAAATCAGGCAAATCTTCTTGATTCTAAACCTGTCACCACTCCTCTTGCTTCCAACACTGCTTTTTATCACCAACGGTCCTCTATATCATGATCCTACTCACCATCCTTCCCTGGTTGGGGCTCTTCAATACTTGACCATCACACGTCCTGATATCTCATATGTGGTTAATCAGGTTAGTCAGTTTCTCCAGGCCTAGACAAACTCTCATTATCAGTACGTCAAGCGGATTCTTCGGGATATTAAGGGCAATATATCATTTGGTCTCACAGTTTCTCGTCTGTCATCCACGACTATTCTTGGTTACTCTGATGCAGACTGGGTTCAGTGTCTTGTGACTCGGCGATCCACATACGGCTACTCGATATTCCTAGGGGGAAATCTTATCTCTTGGAGTGCCAAGAAACAACCCTCGATCTCCCACTCCAACTGTGAATCTGAATATCGAGTAATGGCTAATACTGCTATATAAATAATATGGATCACTCATTTACTACGTGAACTTCATGCTTTACCTTCAGTCCGACCAACTCTTTTATGTGACAATAAGAATGCACTCTTTCTCACACAAAATCCAGTCTTCCATAAAAGAGCTAAGCATATTGATCTTGATTATCATTTTATTCGGGAATTCGTCTCATCCGATAAACTTCATACCCGGTTTGTTTTGTCTAAGCTTCAAGTGGCTGATATTTTCACGAAGAGTCTCCCTCGTCGTCAATTTGAGTTCTTTCGGGATATGCTTCGCATTGGTCCGCCATCGTTTCGCTCGAGGGGGGATATTAGACACACTTAGTTTTTACATTTTGTATATATTTATACTTTTTGTAGTTTGTTTTATTTCTCCATTCTTATGGGGTCGTATTTGTAAATTGGTTCTTTATTTATAGATACTCTTTCCTCCTGTTTTGGCATGGAGATTTACATTCTCAAAGAGCACAAGGAACTAGAGACCACATGTCGTTTTTAACAAGAGTAGAGTACTCCTAGGCCATAGCTTGACACCACTCAGGAGATTTGTTGGCAACAGTAAACGAGATTGGTTCAATAGGTGCAATGGAGGTGGTGGTAAGATTAGCTTAGGGATTGAAGGGAATCCGTTGTTTGGGGTTGGACCGGAGGTTAGGGGGACGTTGTCTAGGGGCCGGAGGCGATGGTGGTGATGGAGAGGAGGAAGTGGATGATAATGGAGATGAACCACTGGTATGTGGATCATGGTATATCAGGGAAGTGGGTTCAGGAGAAGACCAAGATGGGCGAGAAAGTATGTGGTGAACTAGACGGATCGGCTGTTGCAAGAGATGGACCGACAGGTGGAGTGTTGTTGGTTACCACACGAGGTGATATCGAGGAGGTGTAGGGACATGCTGATGTAGGTGAGGAAGTGGCGGCAATAGGAATAACAAAGGGGAAGTGGTCTTCATTGAAGCGAACATGATAAGCAATGTATAAACGCTTTGCCGACAGGTCAAGGCAACGATAGCCATGATGGAAAGGACTATAACCAAGAAAGACACAAAGGGTCAATTGAAAGTTAATTTTTTGATGGTTGTACAGTCGAAGGTGAGGAAAGCATTTACAATCGGAAGACCCGAAGAAAGGAGTAATTGGGAGATCGTTTGAAGAGATGTTAGAATAGTGATTTGTTTGTTGAGGTTCGAGAAGGCATGCGGTTGATTAGGTATACAACTGTACCGAAGGCGTAATGCAAGAAACATTGAGGAATACTGGATTGAGCAAGCAGAGTGAGACCGGTTTCAACAACATGTCAATTGCATCGTTCCACAAAGCCGTTTTGCTCGCTGGTGTGAGGACATGAACGACGATGAACGATGCCAAGGGATGAGAAGAAGAGAGAGAGATTTCGAAATTCACCACCCTAGTCAGTTTGAATGTTTTTGACCTTTGTAGTAAATTGTCTTTCGATCATGGTAAGAAAACCTTTGAAGGTGTTGTAGACATCTGATTTTTGAGCCAATAGATAGATCCGCATATAACGAGAATGATGATCAACACATAACATAAAGTAACGATGACCTTCAAATGATAGAATAGGTGCAGGACTCCGGACATCACAATAAACGAAATCCAAAATTTCATTACTTCGAAAAAGAAGAAACAGGTAATGAATGTTTTGGTGATTTGCCCATTTGACAAGACGTACAAAAAGGTAATGTCTTATTTGTTATAGGAATAAAAATCTAGAAAACATAAAATGGAAAAGACGCTGATGTGGACGAACAAGCCGCCTATGCCAAATGGTAGAGGATGCACGATCAGCAGCAAAAGCGATTTTATTGCTAGACTTGAGCTGGGCTAGACGAATGAAGTATAAACCATTATCACTAGGACCCGTAAGCAAGGTAGTGCGTGTAGACTTGTCCTTCACGACAAAAACTGTTGAGTGAAATTCAAAGAAAATATTGTTATCTAAACAAAATTTCTGGACAAAAAAGAAGACTTTTGGTGATTTCTGGTACGTGAAGAATATTAGATTGACAAAAGGGTTTATGTGGTGAGTAAATGGTTGAGGAGCCAATATGAAGTATAAGGAGTCCCTTACCGTTACCAACATGGAGAGCGTCACTACCATGGTAAGCTTCAGATATCCATGCTTGCTAAATTAGGAGTAACATGACTGTTCGGTCCCGTGTCAGGAAACTCTATTATGACACTTAAACACTTTTGGGGGTGGGGGGCGCTATAAACTCGATTTTGTTGTAGTGTTTCCTTCATTGATGATGATACACAAACACTACTATATGTGTTTGGCATATGTTCTTCACTACCATTTATTAAGAATCTCTCGAGAACAAGATTCTAATTTCTCTGTGTATGAATTGAATTTTGGAGTCGTATATAGGAACACAAAAACATGATGGTAGCAGAAATTATTATCTTGCATGCGGTAGTTATGTTCATGATAATTTTAGTTTTCGGCCTTCGGAGATTAAAAAAAAACGAGCTGGACAAGTAGTTAATAATTGAAGCGATTGAAATACCCTTTAATAGTGACAAAAGAATGTCAATCTTGGAGTAATACATGTACTGTAATTATGAATGTATGTGTGCTTGATTGTATACATATTTTTATTCTTGAATAGGTAAGACCTGATATGAGCTATTTTATGTTTTGTTTGTTGAATCTGCAGCAAAAAGAGCGAATCATTGTCAAGTAAAGACAAGGAAGAGAGGAGTAGAAGATGTGAATTTGTGCAAGGGATGTTGTTGTCCACAATTCTTGATGATATATAACTTGTACAAACAAGATGAAATCCAATCCAATCCATCGGAATATATGGGAGGTAGGGGATAACCAAATGAGGTTGAGAACCATGTTGTTTCACAATGTGATTATTTTTAATGTGTGCGTATTTTCCCTGTACTTTTAAATGCATTTTTTTCATAATGTGATATAATACATGATAACTGGTTCTCAACTTTTGCTTATGCTTTGAGGTATGCATACTTTTTAATTGATTGTAGTAATAAGTATTGTAAACTTATGGGTAGCTAGTGTTGGCAACAAAAAGGAATTAAGATTTTGCATCTTAAAACACAAGATCCATTTAAGAGCAAGTTACAACCAAATGAGGGATTTTTTTAAAGTTGGCTACTGATTGATTCAAATAAGAAGGCTAAATATTGTTAGAAAGGTAAGAAAAAAAAAAGATTAAATGAAGGTTAACATGCGAATCCATTGAAAAATATATTTGAAGATGTATATGTGAACCAACGTTATAAATTATTCATATGAGTTCACATATGGATCTTCAAATACATTTTTTCAATGATTCATATATAAACATTCTTTTATTTTTATATTTTCACTATATTTTGCCTTCTTTTTTGAATCTCCCATAAGTTGACTACAAGATCAAATGCTTGTTGGAAAGAAATTGCATTTTAACGTTATCTGTATTAAATGATAAGAATGAATTATGTTTTTAGTTCCTGTGGTTTGTTGAGAATTTCTATTTTCATGTTTGTCATTTTGAAATCACAAATTTTATTCTTATGGTTTATAATTCATCATCTTTTTCGTTTTTATGATTTACTATATTCGTTCCTATGGTTTAAAATTTATTTATATTTTAGTCCTTCATACTTAGAAGTAGTGTCTTGGCCTCAGGGACGAAAATATAAAGGAATTGCAAACAATAAGAATGAAAACCGAAATTTTAAAACTAAAGGGATGAAATCCAAAAAATTTAACAAACCCCGAGGATGAAAAATGTAATTAACTGAAATAATAAAGAACGATTGATTTTAACACGAAAACAAGCGAATCACATGTGATTTTACACAAACATCACATACAAAATTACATGTGATTCAGGCGACCTTACCCGACGACCTGAGAACGCAGCTACAAGTCACCCTAACACTTTCTTTGACCATCAATGTAAATACACATATGATTTTGCACATGATTTGCCTGTTTTCGTGTTCATTTAAATATGTACCGTTCTCGTTTGATCTTGTCTCCCTCTCTCTCTCTCTCTCTCTATATATATATATATATACTTACATATATCCTAATATATACATAAAGGCTGACTTGGGATCAAGAGAGACCATGTTGTTTTCATGAGACCATATAAATAACTTTAAACGTTCACAACAGAACATTGTGAAGGTAAACCATTCACATGTTATAAAAGTCCGGTTTATTTTTATATCTTCACAATGTTCTATTGAGAAGTTTTATTGTAATTTAATGGTTTCACGAAAGTAGATTGGTCTCACATGAACTATATATGCAAATTTATTATAAAATATAATAATAAAAAACATTACAAAGGTAATATGCAAGAAACCGAAAACACCTTAAAATCCACAAAGAAAAGAAGACAAAAAAAATTATTTAGTAAAAATTGATGGCAAAAAAATGAATATATTAGTGGATTATATTATGCATTTCAAAAATGGTACGGAAGATTATTGCAATGTAAAAATAGTAAGAACTTGACAGCATTATTAGATAGATTTTGTAGCCAACTTTAAAACAAAATTATCCTCAATTTGCTTGAATTATGAGCAATTGTGTTTAAGAAGCCAAACCTTAATTCCTTTTGTACGCTATACACATAAGAGTACATGATTTATCACTACAATCCCAAATGGTATAATTAGATGAGAACCGTAAGAACCAATAATCATATGTTGTTTCACATACTGTACGATGCATTACAACAAATATACACACTAGAAATAATTACACTGTGAAACAATAAGGTTGTCAACCTCATTTGATTACTCTCCTACCTCCCATTGGATTGGATTTCATCTTGTTTGTAAAAGTTATATTTCATCAAGAATTGTGGAAAACATCACTTGCACAAATCTACATCTTTTACTCCTCTCTCCTTGTCTTTACTTGACAACGATTCGCCTTTTCTGCTATGGATTCAACAAACAGTGCATAAAATAGCTCGTATCAGATCTCACCTATTCAAGAATAAAAATACGTATACAGTGAAGCACACATGCATTCATCATTATAATACATATATTACTCACAAGACTAAGATAATAACTTATGGGATTGGGTTCCAGTGAGAAGATGAGTTAAGGTGATAAGCATGAGAAGGGATGTCCACCTTGGATGCACATTAGGATGAGATGCACCGGATCAATCCCCATATCAAGCGTGATTCATAGGTAGGTTTGAGATGAAAGTGATCAAGGATCAAGACCCCTTCTTACAATTCTTATGTTAACTATGCTTCTCACATGATCATTGATCTAACTTCTGCTTCCATCATGTTTTTGTGTTCCTATATAAAACTCCAAAATTCAAAATTCATACACGGAGAAATAAGAATCTTAATAAGTGGTAGTGAAGAACACATATAGCAGTTGTATCTGTTTTTGTTGTAAATTGATGAGATCATTCACAACCAAGCAAAAACATAATTAAACTCCATTGTTGTTATATTTTATGGTAATATAGAAAACATGAGGTCTAGTGTAAGGGGCTCACTTAAGTTGGTACATCAAAGGTGTCTTTGATTACACTATCTTGCTGAAATCACTTTTCTTCTATATATCCTAGCAAATAACTCTTGTTGGTACCTTATCATATGCATTCAAGTAGAAAGTGATGGATTGTGTGAGAAAAGAAGTTATGGTAAGAAACGTAATAAGAGATCTGAACTCTTGATTATTTTTAATCTCATGCCCACCCATGAATTGCGTTTTAGAAGAGAATTGATCTGGTATGTCTCGATGCATGTCACTAGTGTTGATATTTAATTAGAATTGATGTAGTAGCAGAGATAAAATAATTACATGTTGTGAGTTGGGTCTTTAACATTAACTTCTAATAAAATCTCTCCGTTAAACCTCCTTCCCGTGAGGAGCACGAGAAGATATTTTTGTCATTTTACTCTTATTGTATGAAAGTTTATGTTATACAAATTTTAATGCTATGTGTACAACCTAAATCATGAAAAGAAATAAACCTACACATGATCGGAACCAAATCGTCCCTAAACTCCATCATCTCCGGCCTCCTTCCCTTCATTGTTACTCGTCAATCCAAAATGAAATCAAAAAACCAAACCAATCCCCATGTTCAATTAAACCGAACTCAGAGTCGAAAATGAGAGTCACATACAAAAAAACCCCTAAAACCAGATATGAGTGAGTGTACAAGGACGAGAAGTGAGCGGTTGAGTGCTGCGACGGTGGTGTGTGTGGTGGCTTTTGTTATTGCAGGGAGGAAAAATGATGGTGGAAGTTCTAGGAGACAGAGATCGTCGGATTGGTTCCAGATGGAGATCGTCGAGACAAGGCGGTGAACGGTGGTGAGTGGACGGAGATGAGAGGGGGGAGGGAGAGGAGAAGAGAAAAGGCACCGAGGAGAAGGAGGGGGTACTAGTGAGAAAGGTTGGGCAAAATACATTATATACAACAGAGCTAAAGTTAACGATGTCAAGGCAAAGGACCCAATACATATAATTATTTCATAAAACAACATGAATGAAATTTGAAATTTACTCAAAACCATAAATAATATTAAAAATCATTCAAGACGTATAAATGTAGTAATTTACATAGCATAACAAAAGAAATTTCATAAAATATTTTCTTATCAATATTTCCTCTCCAAATATTAATAAAATTTAAGAGTTTGAATTTTTTTTCAACAATCAAATATTTCAATATTAAGATTTGAAAGATGCTATATGAGTATATAACATATTTTGGAGGAACAAGCCACAAACCAAGTGGGATTTTAAACTTTTTAATGACAATAATAAAATATTAATTATATATTGAATTTAATTAATTATTTATACTACCTTATAAATGAGATTTAACAAAAGTCTTAAAAACAACATCTAATGCATTTGGTACTATCTTTTACTGCATAAAGTCTTAAAGTTTTAAAAACAATCTTTATTACATATAGTACCGCTTTTTAAAGCATAATTCATTAAAATCTCTTAATTACAACAAGTTTATGCATAATATACAACTTAACAATGCTATATCTAACACAAAATTACCTTCCCTATTACACGCATGTGTTGATGGCTTCCTTCCCAAAGCGACGATTTGATTTCCCAAATGGCGATTGAAGCTCCCGGTGAATTCAAATATGATTAGAAATGCGTTTAGGGTTCTTATTGACATCGTTCATCTACCGATTCATTCATTGCTCCTTATTCCAATGTCGATCCATCACTATCCCAATCGAGGTAATTTCTTAGGGTCTATCGGTTGTATTTCTTTATTTGTTGTCCTTTGAGTTTTCTTTGGTTTAAGGTTTGATTTCACTTGTGTTTGTTAGGGTCCGATGTGTTGTATGTTATTTTTACTTCAATTCATTTCACTTGTGTGTGTTAGGGTTCTATGTGTTGTATGTTTTTTTTTACTTCAATTTACTACCATGTTCTTTCTCCTTTCCTGTTTTTTTATATTCTTTTGTTATTGTGTTGCTTATCATGTGTTTGTTGGAAGTCCTCAAATAAAGTATTTGATTTTTTCTAACCCAAGTTGTTGTTTATCATATGTTTGTTTAAAGTCCTCAAAGAGAGGTTTAACATTTAATAATTTTCCAACAATTTTCAACTGTACCCATGTAGCAACCGGATGTTGGAGTTTTTTCCTTTTCAATATTAAACTGAAGTTCACTTTATAGACTTCATCTTAGCTTTAATGATTTTTCATCTTCATCTTTTGCTTGATTCAATGGTGTTATCTTTTTGTTCTGATGGTTGAAGTCCCAAGAAATGTAAAAACCAAGTTCTTCATTTTAACAATGATGCAGAAACATTGTCCCCTTTTGAGCATGGAGGAGAGATGGGTAACATATTGATGCCAACATGACTATACGGTAACACCCAATTTATTCTATTGCATTTTGGTTACCTTAGTTTACGACTATCTGTAACACCCGAAAATCTTTCCCTTTTCTCTGCTCCGTGCGCATCAAGGGTTTTCGTCCCGTAGTGAGGTACGCGTTTTCATCCACCTATTTAGAGCTTTAGTCACCCTAATTGTTTTAAATCTTTCTTTATTAAGTATTATCTGCATATATAATATATAAGTGTATTTTTTTTATATATAGATAAACTTTAAGGTAAGCCTTCTTTTGAATTCAGTGGAGTAAAAATGGGGGGGGGGGTACCTGCCACCTTTTGGGTTGTCCTATCCTTCTTGTACTTTTGAAATCATCATTTCCCTAGAGGTTCTTTCCCTTCCATGGAAGTCCTTAACCTCTGGTTTGATTTTGAGAGGATAAGTCTTTAGAGGGCGGGAAGGATGGGAGGAAGCATAGAAAAAGAGAACCGTCTCCTTCTCTTGGGTTCAAGGAAAAACCCCCAGCTATGGAAACCACTGGAGTATCGATCCTCATTCGAGAACTGCAACCACCGTTGATTAGGCCTACCTTAGTGCCGACCACGCCATTACCGTGCCTCCAGCCCCGATCATTTTACACCCCTCGGCCTCTCTGCGTTTTAGACGGTTTCTCGCAGCAGCAGGCGCTACTGTTCTTCACCTTGCAAAAATAGCAGCAACATCAGGTAGTATTGCTACTGCTTTGCTTCCTTCGCTTCTTCACCCTACAGAAACAACAGCAACAGCAACAACAAGTAGCATTTGCTACTGCTTTGCTTCCTTTGCCGTTTTCTTCATACAGCAACATCAGCCACAACGGTACTGTTACTGGACTGCTTCACCAAAACAGCCACAGTTGTTGACCTGTCTTTCGCCGCTGCGTCGAGCAAACAGCAGCCTCGGCTAAGCTGTTACTGAATCCTTCGCCAAACAACAGGCACCGTCGAACCGTTTCTTCGTTAGATTCGCGTAAACAACGGACGCTATTGTGTTGTTTTCTGAATTGCCAACCCTCCACTTCTTCATTTTTGTTACTGCTGTTGCCCTTGATGATAAGTTGAAATTTTACGGTTTTCGAATTCCTTCCGTCTACCGGTAAATTTCGCGAGATTGGGATTTCTCCTAAATCCTACAGATGAGTTCATTTCTTTTCTCTTTATGAAAACTTATACAAATCGTGAGGGTATGATTTACTTGTCATATACTCTAGCTTCATTTAAATCTGCTTGCTTAGTCGAAACGAAAGTTTTAGGTCAAAAGTGTATGAGCTAGAGAAATCCGTTAATTATGTTAATGTGAGTCGAGATGAGGTTTTGTCACTAAATAAGATGCACACTCTCAAGTATTATCGGCCATAACACTTTAAAACCTCTTATAATTTACATATAGAATTATTATCTAGTAAGGGAGAATATCTCTTTTGATTGCGAACTCATGTAAAAAAAATTCTTATTGTTGAATAACTGCCAATGTGTTTAAGTTATTGATTTAGGCATGTCACTAAGAGGTAATGGGATATGGGTATGAAAGTCGTTTTATTTCATTTTTTGTGAAGGATGATGTAAGTTGGATTTAGGCATTGTGATTATTATGCAATTTCCAAATCACCCTCTCACCCCACTCGAATTTAGGCATTATTATGTAATTTTGGAGATAAAGAGCTTAAGATCACGACAGATTATATGACTGGTTTAGGTTGATGTCAATAGTATTATACCTATAATTGATGCTCTATAACATTAATTTATGACTTACTTCGTGTTCCGTCATAAATAACGGAAATCGGGCCTCACCCGTCATCTTCGGATGTTTTGTCCCCACCTCGTTATATTTGTGGACTTACCATCCTCCTTTAAACTGTTTTAAGTTACGTCATTTCTTTTATTTTATTCTCATATATATATATATATATATATATATATAGTGATATCAAGGCTTTCTTGTTGATGCACTTATTATTGACCATTTGAACTCACTATGTGTAAGCCTAACACCTCTTCTTGATTTGGTTTGCTTATCAGGTCCCTTTGGCGGCGGGGTATCAAAGGGTTGAGGTGATTGACGACCGTAAAGGTCTTTTTGTAGTTAAAACACTTGGTGTTTCGAGCGTTGCAAATCTTGGTTGATTTCGTATTTTGTTGAGATGGTAGAAACACCCGTTTGTAATCTAGACATAGAATTGTTTAGATTAATAGGTTGTTAATTATCGTCTTTCTGTTGTTCTGTAAACGCTTTACCTTTCCCCTTGTGTTGGGTGATTTTCTTATTGAAACTCTAGCTTTCCGGCTTTATTTTGTCGGATAAAATTTATCTCCTACCGTGTTACCTTCTTCCTTTTTGTAGAGTGTTACAAGTTGGTATCAGAGCACTAGTTTAAGTGAACTAGGTAAGGGATCATGACGCCTAGACTTAAGCTGAAATTGTAAGTATCAGTTTGTGAAAGGTGGGTAGGAACTGTTAAGATAAGAGAACTTTAGGGGGCAATAGAGTTGCACAATTCATGAGTAGTGACAGCGGTGTTGAGGATTCTTATGTATAACGTATTCGAAATTTCACTAAGTTAATGCTATTTTGAGTATGTTGTTGCATAAGTGTGCTTAAACTCACTGCTATTGCAAGAATTTATGAATGTGTCGGTACGTGTTATGATAATTCCATATTCTTCCTATTCTAACACTCTTCCACTCTCTTGCATTCAGCCTTTATGGTGAACACTCGGAGTAGACGGGATACCTCACCGGAGGGTCATGCAGTGACAGAATCGACCGCGGATCAACCACCACAAACCACCATCGCAATGGTCCATCTTAGGCAAGACACCTTGGGAGGTGGAGATGACCAGGCTCCTCCAATTGACAATGCCACCACTAACCCTGTAATCGAAGAGGAAACCCCAGAGTCAAGAATGATGGACACAATGCTGAATGTTATGAATAGAGCTATGGCCCAACAACAAGAATTTTTTATGAAACTTTTGGAGGACATAGATATTAATAATCGTAAGCATGAAGCAGTTGCCGAAAATATAACTATGGAGGGGTCTGGGGGTACGGGAAACGGACTCCCAACCCAGGAACTAGCAACGATTGAGGCGAGACAAATGGGTAGAAATTGCTCTTACAAGACCTTTCTATGTTGCAAACCACCAGAATTTGTGGGGCCGGACGACCCCGTGGTGTGCAAGAATTGGCTTCGAGAAATCGAGCAAGCCTTCCGGGCTTGTGACTGTGATGAGGGGCAAAAAGTGAAGTTTGGCTCTCAAATGCTGAGGGGTGCAGCTCTTACCTGGTGGAACATTGTCATCTCAACCATCGAGGTTGCGGAATTGGCCAAGATGAGTTGGACCACATTCAAAGAAAAGGTAATGGAAGAATATTGCAACGAACAAGAGATGGACCGCATCGAAAAAGAGTTCTGAACCCTTAAGAAGGGAAATTTGTCAGTAAGGGACTACACCTGACTCTTCATGGAAAAGCTAAATTTGGTGGGACACGTGGCCCCAATGGAGAAAGATAAGATGAAGGCCTACCTGCAGACATGATGATGATGGTTAGGAACTCTAGAGCTTCCACCCTCAGAGAGGCAATCGAAGAAGCCAAGGTCTTGGAATCGGTTTATGTTAAAGGAAAGGAAGAAAGGATGTCGAGTGGAGAGAAGAGGAAGTGGGAAGGGCCTTACACACCATCCAAAAAGCCAAACTACGTTGGCAGCAACAATCGCGGAGCCCATCCCAAACAAGAGGCTAGATGGTGTCCCAAATACCGCAGTAAACATCACGGCCCGTGTAGCACCAACTCTACCCCCACCAAATGCTTTAAGTGTGGGAAGGCAGGCCACACACGAAACAAGTGTCCAATCAAGGGACCCATATGTTTTGGATGCGGAGAGCCGGGCCATTTCAAGAATGAATGCCAAAAGTTGAAAACAGGTGGGAGTCAGGGAAGAAAAGAGAACGCCCCAAAATCAACCGGTCGAGCCTTTCAGATGTCGAGAGAAGAAGCTAAGGCGGGGACGGATGTAGTGTCGGGTACGTTCCTTATTAACTTCGTACCTGCTCACGTGCTTTTTGATTCAGGTGCTTCATGTTCCTTTGTGTCCACTACATTCTATCAACACTTGCATACGCCACCTAGTACACTAGAAGATGCATTAATCATAGATATAGCGAATGGTAGTCAAGTTTTGGTGCGTGAAATTGTTAGAGGTTGCGTTTTGGGAATTGAAGGAAAGGAATTTCAGGTGGACCTCATACCCATGGCTATAGGCGGATTCGATGTCATAATCGGGATGGATTGGCTAGTTGAGAACCAAGTGGAAATCTTATGCTCTAAGAAGCTGATCCGAATTTCTTTGTCAGGCGGGGATGCCGTACTAGCTTATGGAGAAGGAAGAAAAGGAAATGTAGTACTCTTATCCATGGCGAAGGCACGTAAGTGCCTAGCTAAAGGATGCTCCTCATTTATTGCGTATGTATTGAATACCATGCTAGAGATAAAAAGAGTTGAAGATGTGAAAGTGGTTAATGAATTTTCTGATGTATTCCCTGAAGACCTACCCGGATTACCACCCGATAGACAAGTGGAGTTCCGGATCGACCTCATTCCGGGAACCGCTCCAATTGCTAGAGCCTCTTACCATTTGGCGCCATCCGAGATGTGAGAGTTAATGTCCCAATTGCAAGACCTTCTGGAGAAAGGATTTATCTGACCGAGTTCGTCACCATGGGGAGCTCCAGTTTTGTTTGTAAAAAAAAGACGGCACCTTGAGGATGTGTATTGACTACAGAGAGCTCAATAAGGCAACCGTGAAAAACAAATACCCTCTTCCTAGGATAGACGACCTTTTTGACCAACTTCAGGGAGCAAGTTGCTTCTTTAAGATTGACCTTCGCTCGAGGTATCACCAAGTTCGAGTGAGAGAAGATGATATGTCGAAGACAGCTTTTAGAACGCGATATGGGCACTATGAATTCATGGTCATGCCTTTCGGTCTGACGAATGCACCAACATTATTCATGGACTTGATGAACCGAGTGTGTCGACCGTTCCTTGATAAGTCAGTGATAGTGTTCATTGACGACATACTCGTCTATTCCAAGGATGAGACGGATCATGAGCAGCACCTTCAAGAAGTTCTCGAAGTTTTAAGAAAGGAGAAATTGTATGCAAAATTCTCCAAGTGAGACTTTTGGCTAAAAGAGGTCCAACTCTTGGGTCACGTTGTCACTTGAGACGGGTGAAGGTGGACCCATCCAAGATCGAGGCAATGATGAACTGGGAACCACCAAAGAGTCCGTCAGAGATTCGAAGTTTCTTGGGTCTGGCAGGTTATTACAGGAGATTTATCCAAGATTTCTCCAAGGTCGCTTCTTCCTTGACAGCATTGACTAGGAAGAATATGAAGTTTATCTGGACAGAGAAGCAAGAGTATGCTTTTAGAACTCTCCAAAAGAAATTGTGTGAAGCGTCGGTTCTCTCCTTCCCAAAAGGATCCGAAGACTTTGTAGTTTTTAGCGACACCTCTAAAATGGGATTGGGTTGTGTCTTGATGCAAAGGGGAAAAGTAATAACATACGCATCCAGACAACTCAAAGATCACGAGAAGAATTATCCCACCCATGACTTGGAACTGGCAGCGGTGATATTCGCCTTAAAACTTTGGCGACATTACCTCTATGGAACCAAGTACACGCTTTACACTGATCATAAGAGTTTGAAGTACATTTTTTTATCAAAAAGATTTAAACATGAGGCAACGTTGTTGGCTTGAGCTACTCAAAGACTACGATTGTGAATTGCTATACCACCCGGGTAAGGCAAATGTAGTGGCAGATGCTTTGAGCCGAAAGGAGTATGATAGTGGGACAAAAGTTGTGCTTACCAGGATCGATATAGTGTCTAGTCTGATTGATCAGATCAAGGTGGTGCAATCTGAAGCACTCCTAGAAGAGAACCTCAAGAGTGAAGTAATGATGAAACAACGCCTACTTCTGATAGAGGATGGCCGTGGCTTGAAGTTGTTTCAAGGGCGTATTTGGGTACCCAAGATTGGAGGCAATCGCGAACTGTTACTTGAAGACGCACACAAGTCCAAATACCCCATTCATCCGGGTAGCACCAAGATGTATCGGGACTTGAAGTTGACGTATTGGTGGCCTATTATGAAGTTGGATGTGGCTCGTTATGTGGAGAGGTGCGTGACTTGTTTGCAAGTGAAGGCGGAACACCAATGAACTTATGGTAGTCTTCAATCCTTGGAAATTCCCGAATGGAAATGGGAGCATATTACCATGGACTTCCTGACCAAACTGCCGAAGACTCTTAAAGGCCATGACGCGATATGGGTACTTGTCGATGGACTGACAAAGAGTGCTCACTTCTTAGCAATGCGAGAATCGTTGCCAATGGAAAAACTTGCCAGGTTATACGTTGATGAAGTAGTTTCGAGGCATGGTATACCACTGTCAATAGTGTCTGATAGGGATAGCCGATTCACCTCCCATTTCTGGGGCGGCTTGCAGAAAAAGCTGGGCACGAGAGTGAAATTGAGTACAGCTTACCACCCTTAAACCGATGGCCAGAATGAGCGGACTATTCAAACACTCGAAGACATGCTTAGATCGTACGTTATTGACTTTGGCGGGAATTGGGATTCTCACCTACCCCTGGTGGAGTTTGCCTACAACAACAGTTACCATTCCAGCATAGGGATGGCACCTTTTGAGGCCTTGAACGGACGAAAATGTAGGACTTCGGTATGTTGGTTAGAAGCGGGTGAGAAGCAATTCGCTGGTCCCAAGATTATGCAGGAAACAGCCGATAAAGTGAAGTATACGGGAACGCTTGAAGGCGGCTCAAGCTCGCCAAAAGAGTTATGCAGATAAGAGGAGCCGACCCATAGAATTCCAAGTAGGCGACCGCGTTATGCTAAAAGTATCTCACTGGAAAGGAGTTATCCGTTTTGGAAAACGTGGGAAACTCAGCCCCCGTTTCCTTGGGCCGTTTAAAGTCTTGGATAGAGTGGAACTTCAAGCTTATAAATTAGAACTACCACCATAAATGGCCAGGATCCATAACATATTTCATGTATGTTACATTCGTAAGTGCTTAGCGGAAGAAGAAAGTGTTATTCCACTTTCGGAAATTCATGTGGACGAGATCAACCGGTGTGTTGAAGAGCCGGAAGCCATCCTGGAAAGAAAGATCAAGGTGTTGAGACACAAAGAAATTGTCATGGATAAAGTACAATGGAAACATCACCGAGGGTCAAACGTAACATGGGAAGCGGAAGAGGATTTGAAGAGGCGTTACCCTCACCTTTCAAGTGAACTAAAATTTCGGGGACGAAATTGAACCCAAGGTGGGAAGGATTGTAACACCTGAAAATCTTTCCCTTTTCCCTGCTTCGTGCGCATCAAGGGTTTTCGTCCCGTTAGTGAGGTACGCGTTTTCATCCACCTATTTAGAGCTTTAGTCACCCTAATTCTTTTAAATCTTTCTTTATTAAGTATTTTATGCTTATATAATATATAAGTATATTTTTATATATATAGATAAACTTTAAGGTAAGCCTTCTTTTGAATTCAGTAGAGTAAAAAGGGGGGGTACCTGCCACCTTTTGGGTTGTCCTATCCTTCTTGTACTTTTGAAATCATCATTTCCCTAGAGGTTCTTTCCCTTCCATGGAAGTCCT